CACACACACACTCACACACACACACACACATATACTCACACACACACACACACACACACACACACACACACACACACACACACACACACACACACACACACACACACACACACACACACACACACACACAGAAAGAGAGAGAGAGAGAGATGAACAGATGAAGCATCAGCACCACCATCAGCCAGCACTGCAGGCTTAGGAGTTGAGGAGCTGCTGGATTTCAGACACACACACACACACACACACACACACGGCTTCACATACCAAGACTCAAATAAACAAACAGATAAATAAATCAAACTTATTTGTTAGAGAAAACCAGTACTGTTGTAGATTGTGAGGTCATCAGTCAGGATCAGAGTCGTCCTGATACTGGAATACGGTACGAATCGATACTGCACTTTAAAACCGTGCGTTTCCCTCTAACAGCGCTGTTGAGCGCGCTCTTAAACAGCGCTGATTGGTCATTGTGTTCACGTGCTCAACAGAAATGACTGTGATTGGCTGTGGAGTTCACCGAGCTCACCGCTGTTTACTGGGTGTAACACAGATACAGGGACACTGGAGTGGTTCAGAGCTGCGGTTCATCAGCGGATTGCTCGTATGACAGACCAGCTGACTGACATGACTTTAAAAAACTCCAGTGTTTCGACATCAGCGTACTGCAGACGTGTTTGATTCAGTCTCAAGCGTGTCCGCATATAAAACGCCTCATTAATTGACTACAGCGCGGCTGTTCAGATGACCATGAGCTTCCCGAGCTTCTGTCATTATTTCCCGAGCCAGATTTACAGCATGGTACTCGCTGGTAAACAGGAGCATTACAGCAGTCTTTAAAGAGTTAATGAGTACTAAATCCAGCGATTGTGTGTGAAATCAGTACAGTCTGAATTATTAAAGAGCAGAATTAATGCCGCTCATATCAGCTCAGACTGGAATAATATTGAGACGAGCCGCTGCAGCAGTAATGGGCTTGTGTGAATATCTGATGGAGATCGCTCACATTTATTAAGCTCAGTCTGCAAGCAGGAGCGCTAACGCTGCAGTAAACAGCGCAGTGATGGAGAGACGAGCTCCACTCATATGAACCCTACACCATGTAAGAGTCCTTCATCACAGTGTCTTCAACACGTACGCTGGTGTTGAGGAAAGTTCCCTGAGTATGTTTACATGGACACCAATCATTTGATTTTAATACAATTAAAGCTATACTTTATTTATTTATTTTTTAATTTTATATATATTCTTTATTTTAATTCATTAATTATTTTAAAAAAAAAAATTTATTTAAATTTATTTATTTTTAAAATTTTTGTAATTTTTTAATTTTAATAAATAATTGTATTTATTTTTAAAATTTTATATATTTTAATTTTAATTGATTGATGTATTTGTATTTATTATTTTTTATTTTAATTAATTATTTTATTTATTTTTAAAATTTTATATATTTTTTAATAACTAATTTATTTATTTTTTTAATTTTACATTTTTTTATTTTGAGTTATTTATTTTTTTAATTTTATAAAAAATATTTTAATTTCCCTATTTTTTTAATTTTATAATGTTTTTATTCTAAATAATTATTTATTATTTATTTTATTTTATTTTTAAATAATTATATATTAAATATATATATATATAAAATTTATTTATTTATTTAAAAAAATATAATTTTTTATTTAATTTTTTATTTAATATATTTTTAATATTATTTTATTTTTTCCATTTTATAATTTTTCATTTGAATTTATTTATTTTTTATTTTTTTTAATTAATAAATAATTATTTTTTATTTTGTTATTTTATATTTTAATTTAATAATTAATTTATTTTTTAAATATTATAATTTTTTCATTTTGATTTTATTTTTTTATTGTATTAAAATTAATTTTAATGTATTTATTTTTTTTACATTTTATAATGTTTTTATTTTAATTAATTAACTATTTATTTTTTTATTTATATATTTTTTATTTAAATTTATTTATTTATTTATTTATTAAATTTTATAATTTTTCATTTAAATTTATTTATTTTTAATTTTAATTTTTTTATTTTATTAATTTATAATTATCTTTTTTTATTTTGTTAATTTTTTATTTTAATATATACATTTTTAGTTTTTATTAATTTAATCAGATTTAAGTTCATTATCAAACTAAACTAAAAGTGTATTAATGCACGTGGAGTATGCTGATTTTAATGGCATTATTGAAGTGCAGCGTAGACATGGAAACATCCTAATCAAACTATTACTGTCATGTAGGACTTGTTGCTGCATTTTGTGACAGGAGACTCAATACACAATGGCTGGTTGACCCAACACTATGAAGCTTCACCTTTAGAGTCCGTGAAGGACCACAGACACATACATCGCGTTTTTTTTTACAGAATTTCACATGCTCAAACTCTAGTGTAACGGCAGCTTCAGTCTGAAGATCTTCAGCGAGTCTCCAGCTGATCTCCTCAACTCCTCCTGCTGTCTGTAATCTACTGATGAGGAGCTCCTGGATTCCTCCAGTAAACGCCAGTGCTGGCCATAGTGTCCGCTCATCTGCATACAGTAATATCAGCATGCAAATCTACACAGATATCAGCCATCATCAGATGTACCTCCGTCAGGTCACATGACGCATAATCAATCAGATGCAAATGAGCCGCAGCACAGAGATGGAGATCAACACACACTCATAAAACCTGCAGATGTGATTGCAGCCGCGTCACAACCCTTAATGATGATGCGTTTATGCAAATGAGGGGGAATCATCATATTCATGACCTTGTCATTATCAGCGCTGTGAAATATGTCTGACAGAAGCGGTTTAATCGCAGAGGGTGATGTGGTTATCTCACTATGAGCACTATTGATGCAAATATTAGACCTTCTCCAATTATGATGATGTGCAGTTTACAGAGGAGGTCAAACTTTTACACAGAAACACTGCATATGCTGCACAAATACGACTTTCTGTCTCGCTTCTGGTCTAAATATATACAAACTCTTAAATCAAGAAGCCTTTTATAGACAAGCACTAAATATAGTGTTGTGTCCAGCAATAATGAGTGAAATGAGGAGAGTTTCTCCCTAAAACAAGCAGAATAATCTGACAATGGAGTGAATAATCTTCTTTTTCCTTGTGATATAAGAATATTTGGCTTTTTTTTAAGGAAAAGCTCACTTCATTTGACTCATTATTTCTGAAAATAAGCAGTGTGTGGGGTGTGAAATACACTCATTTTAATTTGAACATGTGTGTGTTTTGCTTGCTGGTCTCACTGCGTCAGTAACACACGCTTCATGAAGGACACGCAGACATGAACCCTGGACGCTGGAAACTTGAATGAGTTCATTAATTTAGATCTGATCTGGTCAGACTGACCCACGCGCAGATCACCTCAGATCAGCGGCTGAATTTACTGAGATGAAGCTGTTCAGTCCGGCCGCTCACTGCCATTCCAGCTCCGCTATGCTGGAGTATTGTTGATTTCCCCACACTGACATTATTAGGGCGGCACGGTGCTGCAGGGGTCAGCAATCTGGCCTCACAGCAAGAAGGTCTCTGGTTTGAGTCCCGGCTGGTTGAGTTGGTGTTTCTGTGTGGAGTTTGCATGTTCTCCCCGTGTTGGTGTGGGTTTCCTCCAGGGGCTCCAGTTTCAGTCCAAACATATGCGCTATAGGGGAACTGATCAACTACACTGACCGTAGTGTATAAGTGTGTGTGTGAATGAGTGTTTCCCTGTACCAGGTTGCAACTGGAAGGGCATCCACTGTGTAAAACATATGCTGGGCCAATTGGTGGTTCGTTCCACAGTGGCGACTCCTGATTAATAAAGGGACTAAGCTGAAGGAAAATGAATGAATGAATTGGATTAGATCTGATGTGAGTGTGATGGGACTGAGCTGAACTGAATCAGTCAGGCTGTACTGAGTTCATCCACAGAGCAGTGGCGCCCTCACATGCACACTCACAGCACTGCAGTCTACCAGCTGCACAATAAGCCAGGGGGAGGAATTATTTCAGGCTAGACTGTATGTAAATATGAATGTATGTATGTACATTTAAGTGTAAATAAGTTTACTACAATAAAACATTTCCACGTGACGCATATCTGTAGAAAAAAGTTATTCTAAGCTTTTAAATGGCACCATATACAAGAGTATTGTGAGCCTGAGAGACTTTAAAGGCAAACATTGGGGAGCACAAACATCTAACACTGATGAAAACAAACTGTGTTGTTGCATCGTGTTGGGTCAACTGGTTTTAGAGCACAGTAGTTGATCAGTGTGAGGTGTATAGGACAGACTCGAGTCCTGCACAGCATGAATCAGAACAGTGTTCAGGTCACTACTGATGCTGCTGGAGGAAAACCTTTCCTGACTCACTCCTCCAAAACACCCCAAAGTGCTCAATAATGTTTAATCTGGGTGCTGTGCAGGCCATGGGAGATATTCAGCTTTACTGTCATGTTCATCAGACCGCTCTGTCTCCAGTCCTGCTGTGTGTATTGCTGCATCATCATCCTGACACACACCACCACCTTCAGGATACAATATTTGACCCATTGGGTCACATGCTCCTCCAGAATGGCTAAGTAGTCCTTGACAGTGACCCAGTGCCCATCTAGCACCAGGATTGGGTCTAGGAAATGCCATGACCCCCCATGCTTCAGATCTCCACTGCTGCTCCACTGTGTTCGGCATGGGCAGGAGTGAGCAGAGATTTGGGTCATGTATATGGACCCTGTGGAGCTCCAGATCAACGTCTAGTGTGCATGTGTGTGTGTGTGTGTGCATGTCTAACCGTTGTCCTGTGTCTCCAGTGAGGTGGTCATGCTCCTCTTCTTGCGGATGATTCTGAGTCTGGCCTGAGACATCTCCCTCACCATGGACATCAGCTGATCCTCTGAGCTGCTGCTCACCGCTGCTGCGCTCTTATCCTGCACACTCACACACTTACTCTGAGGGTTCAACACCTGACACACACACACACACACACACACACACACACACACACACACACACACACACACACACACACACACACACACACACACACACACACACACACACACACACACACACACACACACACACACACACACACACACACACACACATACACATCAGTTCTGGAGTGTCAGCACGCCCCTCTGCTCTGTGTGTTTCTGCACTCACGTCTCCATTCTGCCGTCTGTATTTGTAGATGGGTGGAAGAGACGCCGCTTTAGACCTGAAATCACATGATTGTGCAAGTCCCAATGTGTTTTACTTGTCTATAAAAAGCGTTGTGCTGTAATGTGCGGTGATGTGTGTGTGTGTGTGTGTGTGTGTCTCACCCGTTGACTCTCTTCACCGCCGTGTGTTTGCTGAACAGCAGGTCGCTGTACTGAAGCTTCTTAAACTTGTCTCTGCCGACGGCCACGTAAAACTGCCCGCTCTCTAACTCGCTCCCATCCATGACCAGAGTGCCCTCGAAAGTGTACAGGCTGCAGCAGAAGACAGCACAGATCATGATATGATAATATGAGGACGCTTCACATCTTAAAGGAACAGTCCATGCTCAAAATGAAGATCACAGTGTGTGTGTGTGTGTGTGTGTGTGTGTGTGTGTGTGTGTGTGTGTGT